TGTCTGGTCGCTAATGAGCAAAAAGGCTGTATTCGCAGTGATGTCACTAGACTGATGTAAACCATCCCAAGTAAATAGGATCCATTCTCAGTGATGTCAACAGTCTGTAATAAATGGATAGGCTGTATTCTTGGTGATGTCCTCAGTCCCTAATGAAGGGGTGGGTTGAATTCCAAGTGATGTCACTGGTCCCTAGTAAATAGGCTTCATTCTCACTGACATCACTGTCCTTCAATGAATTGATCATCTGCATTTTTTCTTTACACTGCAGCAGCATCAGAAAATGACTGTCTCCATGTGTATACAAAGACCGCAACTGAAACCCTTGTTCTGATCTTGTCTCATTGCTGCTTTGATTGCACAAATAGAGAAAGTTCTCTGCACACCATATACCAATGATAGGACTGGTAATGAAGAAAACGAAAACTACCGTATTTTGCGGTCCATAAGACGCACCGGACCATAGGACGCAGGGAGGTCCGGCGCGCCTTATGGAGCACTCGACAGACTGTAGCTTCTGTCACAGCTTCTATGACAGAAGCTGTGACAGAAGCTGCAGTTAGTGACCGCTGAGACCCGAAACTGCATGTCTCGGGCGTCAGGATTCGCTCCAAAAGACGCAGGCACATTTCCCCCCTTATTTTGGGAGGGAAAAAGTGCGTCTTATGGAGCGAAAAATACGGTATTTTTGCTAACAAAATGATAAAGTCTTAGGATTTCTTTCCATGAATAAGAGATCTAATGACAGATAAACATCAGCGCTGCTCTCTTGAAATCTAGTATTAACAAGCTGGATTTCTCCTAATCAACCACACCACTCCTCGGCTAAAACAAAGTGGTCTTGTGTTGCCCTAAAAACAAAATTATTCATGATGTTGGACAATGAAAGACACAATCCAGAATCTATCTCCGGCTGTAAAGTGAGGAGCAGTGAGCAGATGAAATAAAATCAGATAAAGCCCACACCATAGATGAATGAAGAGGGAGGAAAAAGCAGAGACACGCATGCAATTTGGGACTCAGCAAGACATGTGGGTGCAGGATCTGCATGCCAAATTAAATATTGGTTATGAGATCGGGGAAAGAGGGGAGGGGTAGGAGGGGTGTGAGGGTTGTAGAGGATTTCCCCATTCCAAAGACTGGCTGCTGTGACGGTGTCTGGTGCAGACAAGAATTTACCCCCTGTGGTAGCGAGTATACTAGTTGCATCTCCAGAGTGGTTTATGAGCATTCAGAATTGCACGTGCAGATTTTCTAAAAATCTAAAGCTTCTAAAAGAGGACAGCACCGCTGTGACCCCAATCCACCAATTCTTAATTCTGTTCCATCTTGAAGTGGACATTTCTTATCAAAAAGATGAAGCCAAAAGGTACCAAATCACACACTTCCATTCTGGATTGGTGAGTAAGCAGTGAAGCCATGAAACTAGCAACTCAATAATCTACAATGGCAGCTTCCACGTGTCCATCATGAGAGGAGCAATAAAGAATTCCAGGCAACGCTGAACATTTATCATTAGTGATGGTGTTGTGCTGTTCTCTTTTCTGCAAGTTTCAAGAGCTGTGTAACAGTTTCTGCTCAAATAATGCAAATATGTCAGAATGGGAGCAATATTTAAGGTTTAGGTAGAGTGGAGCCTTATTAAAATGCTTCCACTATAAGAAATATTGGGGATTTTTCCTAAATGCAGGTTGCTTGCTAGTCATGCTGACAAATTATTTTTTAACTATTGACCCAGAACAAGTACATGGTAGATGGGGAAAGTCAAAGCAAAGTCCAATGCTCTTTTCTGCACACTTGTCTGAAGTTGGCAAGAGGGTCAGCATGACATCCAGATACCCAGTATTTTCTGAGACGAAAAATAGGAGCCTCCATATTTTTCCTTTTTTTTTAAATGTATATAGTCATTAAACCAGCTCCTATGAACAATAAAACATCTATATTTAAACATAAAGACCAATGGTATGCAATAATGGCCCCATTCAGACAGGGCTATAATGTGCGGCTGGGGATTCCCGTGGCAAGAACCTCTGAATTCTTGTGGCAGAAGTCCCAGATGTGTCCATACAGATGCAGCCGCTGTGCTCATTCAACTGAATGACAGGCTGACAGCGGCCGCATGTTACCGTGGCTGTCCGCAGGTAATCGTACATGAAATGATTATCTGTGGTTCAGTATGGATTGTTGTTTCTGGTCGCAGATAAGGTTGCATCCACAGACAATCATCTATGCCGAACCATTTAATTTATGATTACATGCGGACAGCCATGGACAGATGCATCTGTATGGACACACCTGGGATTCATGCTGAAATAATATGTAGGTTCCTGCTGTAGAAATGCCTAGTCACACATTAGAACCCTACAGGCACGTAGTTTCTAAGCTGAATCCTACTGGTTGCTGTGAACCACTGCAATGCTCCCTGCTGCCTATTTAGTGAGCCCACGTACATTCTCCAAAGGATATTTAAACTGCTTCATTCTATAAACCTGATCCCTAACTTCTGACGTTTCAGCAGAAAAGAACACTAAGCGTGCTGTCATACAGAGCAAAGGTGTGACATAACATGATTAGGGATCAGCCAAGCTGTGCATTTTTATGGTTTTTGGAAAACCAAAAAGCATAATGGGAGTTGTGTACATTTTAGTGAAAAAGTAGCTGGCCGGAAAGCTATATCTAAACAGAAATAATAAGGCTGCATTCACACTAAAGCGGTTTAGTGAAGCCAGTTCAGTTTTGAAAAAAATAAACAAATCCTGCTTGCTGCATCTTTGGTGTGCTTTTCACAAGGTGCATCATTCAACGGAAAGAATGGTACTGCATGAATATGATCCAAAAAATGCACCATATATGCAACACATGGAAAGGTGTGAACAAAGCCACGTAATCAAAGCTTCACGGCTAAGGTGTATGCCTAATGTAATGCATAATATGGTTTAGATAGTCAAGCAATTCTGCAGGTGGAACCCAGGGACAATTCAAACATTGTATATTATAAAATTGATACTTTTTTTTTTTTTTTTTTT